TATCTGGCCAGCTGTCCCTTGGTTCTGCCATGCCTGCCCTCCCCCAGCTTCAGGGCTGCCATGGGTTCCCCCACCCCAGTCCCCCTCACCCCAGTCCCCCTCACCCATGTGGAGGCCTGGAGACTTGGCGGTGGCCTTGGTGGGCTGCCCTGTGCCCCAGCCCTACCCTGCACCCCATCCTCCTGTCCCCACAGTGCTGTTATAGTGCTCCCCAGGGCCATCATCCTGGAGGAACAACGCTGCCCATGGGGCTAGATCCTGGCATCCGCCTCTTCCTCAGCCTTCGCACCCCCAGCCATGCTCCCCATGCCCCCCCAGCCACACTCCCTGTGCCTGACAGGCTGTTTGCTCTGCAATACCAGTGTGTGCCCAAGGCAGGTGCCGCTGTGTGTGGGGGGTGCCCTTGGCCAAGGTGGGGACCACGGGGAGACCCCCCCCAGGCAGCAGGACCCACGGATGAGGAGAGCCGGAGAGGCCCCGGGGCACCCAAACCTTCCTGGGGGTTCGCCCCCCCTCCGGTGGGGGCCACCCCAGCCTGGGATGGTGCATGGCTGGCAATGGGGTGCCAGCAGGGAGGCTGTGGATGGCTGCAGGAGGTGGGCAGGAGATGGCTGCAGAGGCTGTGGGAGGCAGAGCCAAGGGAGGCAGAGGCAGGCAGAGGGGAACAGGCAGCAGGAAGCAGTGGGAGGCAGAGGCAGGGAGGCAGGCAGGATCGGCAGCCTAAAACCCCCCACCCTTGCCCACTGCCAGCCCTCTGTGCCAACAGCCTCCCTGGCAGCTGACGTGAGCCGGTGCCTCCCTCTCCCAAGGTGCCAGGTCAGCCAGCAAACGCTGCCCGCACATGCTGCCGGCGCACACCCGGCCTCGGGGACACGGCAGGGAACTGGCAGGGGGGAAAATCCTACCCCCATGGGACCTACTGGGGAGCCACTGTGCAGGGCTCCCCAGGGATGCAGCCCCTCGGCTGGGCCACCACTGACCCGCCTCAGTCTGCTGCCAAAGTCTTTTGCTGCTGATGGCCAGAGGAGGCGGAAGGAAAAACATCCAGCAAACAATTGCAAAAGTCAAGTCTGAGCAAGAAGGGGGGGGGGGGGGTTGGGTTGCCAAATCCGGTGGTATTCCTTGGAGATGCTGACAACAATGGCAGGAATATTTAATCACACCTTGCTGAACCCAAACCGGCAGCGAGGCTGGGGGCTTGGGTCCTCGAGGAACTGGCAACCCCGCGGCCAACCTGAACGTGAGCTGGGACAAAACGCTGCACTCGCCTGGCACTGGGGTCAGCAGTGTTTTCTGGGCTGTCACCTGGGCTGAGGACGAGGCCAAACACAACAAGAGGTCACCAGCACAATGAGAGGGACAGAGAAGCGCTGGCACCCCCAAATGCAATGGCCACACGCTGGGATGGAGGAGACAAGGACAGCGGCTGACTAGGAGAGGATTGCGAGATGAAGCTGTGACCGAACCGCTCGGGCTGTCCGTTGGGGCATGAAGGTGGCCTCTTGGGCAAAAGGGGTCTCTGCCACCGTCTCGGTCTGCCACTGCCAGCCCTCTCCCATCGCCAGTGCAGGGTGGCACATGGCTGGAAGTGTGTCCCCTGTCGGGGTGCCACCCCATCAGCAAGGCCAGGAGGAGGTTTTAGCTCTGCACCGTGAGGTCCTGCCTCTTGCCCGATGCTCTTCTTGTGGGGTGCTCCTCCTAAACCCCCCCGGGCCGCCGCTGGCACTGCTCCCAGCAGCCGGTGGATGGCCTGTGGCGGCGTACCAGGGTGCCCACTGTGATCGCCCCTCTTCTTCCCTCGCCTGAGGCCAGTCAGTCAAGTTTCCCATCTACTGTCCCTGAGCCATCTCCTCGCCTCCCCAGCGTCAGCGCAGCCCTTAAGGGGTCATCAGCTCCCCCGGGCCCCCCGCCACGCAGCCCAGCGCCGGGTGCCCCGGGCTGCGGACAGGGGG